ATGGTGGGCCGCAAATCCTGGCTGGCATCGGTCACGCACATACGTTTCTCTCGTCCCCCTTAGCTTGCACTCCTGGGAGGTGGAACCTAGCATCGGGCCATTCGGCCGGACGAACCTGGTTGAGGCCCACTCTGAGCCAGATTAACCCAGACGAAATCTGGCTAAGCCAGATATGGCTGAATTGGGCGGGGTCTCCCCGGCCACCAGCATGTCAATGTTGAGCTACGTTGTTCATGACTCGCTCTCCTGGGGCTTTGCTGTGTTCTTGCTCGTTACCATTTGTTACGTGCGCGGAGCTACACTGTCAATGCCGCGCTTTCCTGTGGCTTTGTTGCGTTCCTGCTCGCAACGCACACCGCCATAGGCCGCGGAGAGCTTGAGAGATCCATCCACAGAAAGGGGGGGTCTGGGACGATGAATCGGGAAAGGGCGGGGGGGTCGGCGGAACGGCGGATCAGGGAAAGGAGGGGAAGGGGGTGGGAGTCGGACCATCGCCCTTCTGCAGATTTAAATCCAGCGGTGAGATCTTCCGAAGATACCCAGAGAGTTCTCCTAGGCCTCCTAGATGGGATCTGAGTAGATGGGGTCGGAGGTTCGCTCCGCATGGCCGATGCATCGCCTATGCGGCTCGATGTGGAGCCCGATTTGCTTCACGTCGACGTCGCCGATGCATCGCCGACGTCGACGATGCATCGCCGGGGCATCGCCGATGCATCGCCAATACATCATCGATGTATCGGCACTGCGGCGCGATCCTCCGACCCCATCCATTCCGACCCCACCTTGGAGGCCTCTATTTCTGCAGGCACAGAAATACAATAAACGTCCCACACATTCGATCCTTGATCCTCGATTCCTCGAGTTTGAGAGGGCTTGCTTAGATGGCTTTCCACCGTGTGCCCGTCGATCGCCGAGCAAATGTTTTTGGGGATTGCCACCATCCACTATATTTGAGCGCCCTCCAGTTTGAGTAATGGACTGGCATTTCATCGTCCTTCTACTCGGGGGGGCGGGCCGCATCCCAATCTACTTCTAGACACGCTGCGCATGCATGTGTAAAACGAAATCTCCACTGGTCAGCGGCTGCTGCCATGCCGGCAAGCGCAGTTCAAGCGCCCGGCGCGAGAGTGCAGCCGCTCACACTAGCTCCCGACCATTGCTCATGTGCGCGTCACACGGCTTCACATCAAGAAGCTCTTCTACCCACTTCTTATTTCGAAGAAAGAAAAGCCACACAAACATACACTTTCGGCGCTCCGCGCGGATTTCTTGGATCCGCGCCTGGGCCCCCCGGCGGCGCCTCCGGCGCTGCTCCTGGCGCGCTCCGCGCGCCAGAGAGGGGGATCCGGCGCTGATCCAAGAAATCCGCGCGGAGCACAAAAACGTTTATGTGTTGGCGTTCTTTCTTCGAGAGGAGCGATCTTTGCTTTTGTTGTGCGAAGAAGCACACGCACGAGATCGAGCGGTGCACGGGAAGTGGACGCCGGAGAGACGGCGAGGAGAGGTGGCGGGCCAAAAAATTATGTTTATGTGGTTTTGCTCTTCTTCTCTATTCGGGGGTGGACAGACCCCCCACCCTGACACGTCGATTAGTGAATTGTCCGTTTTCGGTTCTCGAGAGGGCGCCGCGGCCGTCATTTTCTAGGCTGCCGCCCGCTAGGTTTGGGCCCGAGGCTGTTTTCATTAAACCGCGTTTTGCTAAAGGGGGTTCTGTCCATCCCCGATATATACAGTGCCGTTTCTAATGCATGAAACATGCATTAAAATTGCAGGGGGTCAGTATTAAAAATGCAGGGATCCAGTATTACAAATGCAGGGATTCTGTATTAAAAACAACGAGGAGCTCATGCATACATTTATTCATAAGTTACTCACCTATTAAACATCCGATATGTTAAAAAATCCCATGTATTAAAAGCTGCCCTGTTGGAGCAACCTCTCGCTGGCACTGCGGGCACACCGGGGCCCCCGGATGCCTGGGCGCGGTGCGATGGCAGCGGCGGTCTGCACGCTCCGAGGCGACCCGCGCGCGCGGCCCCCGCACGTCGCGCACCGGGCAGGGCACGCTCGTCGGGGAGGCGCAAGGCTAAGTTTATGTCGGGCTACAGGGGGATTTACGACGAAACATAAAATAAAAACACACAACAAATGCCCCAAAAAGGTCAGAAAATAGTCAAAACATAGTCCCCAGACTATTTTTGGATTATTTTTTGATTATTTTTGGGTATTTCTATTTTCCTTCGAAAACCCCCATGTAGGGGGACAGGCCCGACTGAAGGCTAAGTCGGGCCTGTCCCTCTACAGTTAAGTCGGGCCTGTCCCTCTACAGGGGGAAAATTCAAAAATGTCAAAAGATAGTCTGGGGACTATGTTTTAAAAGTTTTGAGCATTTTCAGCGTATTTGTTGGTTTTCTTTCGTTCAAAATCGGCCTATAGGGGGACAGGCCCGACTTAACTCTACAGGGGGGATATTCAAAAATGATTCAGGGGAGAAAATAGTCGGCCAGGTTTTTTGTATTTCTGGGCATTTGAGGGGCATGCTTGGGGTATATTTCGTTTTCCGTCCAAAATCCGCCTGTAGGGGGACACGCCCGGCTTAAACGTAAGGCTCGCGTGCGCCGGAACGCGGGCTTGCCGACGCTTCCGGACGAGCGCGGCCCTGGATTTCGACGGTGCAGTTGTCATGGAATGTCTGCAGCGGGAGGTCGTGCCAAGTTTCAGGTTGGGCCTCGCCACTGTTTATGATGGCCCCGCCAGGCCAACCCGAGTCCCCCGTGCCCGAGTCTTTCGTCTCCCCGACGAAGGTCATTCTTGCCTATCGGGTCGCTCTTGCGTGTAGCCGAGGGCAGTCTCTGCAGGCGGTCGCGCGCGAAACACCCCCGGCCGGCGGGCTGTCCGCGCCAGGTGGGCATGGGCTTCTACGGGGCCTCGTGCGCCGCCGCCAGAACGGCCCCGCGAGAGGGACGAGGGATCGGCAGCAAGATACGACCCCTACAGCCCACACTCGCCGATCAACGATTCAGGCAACTCGATGGGCGGCGGCGGAGCGGTTCGGAATTCGTTGAACACGATGTGAAATCTCAGGCAATCGCAAACATGGATCAAGGGGGCGTGGATAAGCGACGGGTCCCGTTTCCATAGGAAATCGCTGATTGCCGCCGCCGAGCGAGGCGCCACCAGCCGCATTATTGGGGACGGCACCTCCCCCGATCCATGGATTTGGCAACCGCGCGCCAAATCCATGGATCGCTCTTCCATGTTTGCGCGCCCCCGAAAATCCGAACCCTGCCCCCGCCTCCCATGGATCCTGGTGGTGTCTGGAGGGGCCTCCTGCGACGACACCGGGTATCGAGTCGGCTGCTCCCACATCTCTTCGACCATTTGCGCATCTTACCCATACGAGTCCGCTCAACGCTGGGGTAACTATCGAATACCCCCGTCGGGGATCCATTGGTTGCAGACATCCTTCGGAGTCTGAACCCCTGCCGACGTTCCAGAAGTCTGACATGTATCGGGTAGGGTTGAGTCGGGCACGTCCCTCTACAGGAGGAATATTCAAAAATAGTAAAAAATAGTCAGGGGACGATGTTTGGACTTTTTTGAGCATTTTGGGAATATATTTTCAACCAAAATCCGCCTGTAGGGGGACATGCCCGACCTAGAAGGGTAGGGTTTACATGTGGCTGCCTAAGTGTAGGCCTCTCCACTGGGGTTCGGGCAGATGCGGTCGGAGGATCGCGCCGCATCGCCAACATGCATCGGCGATGTGGCTCGACGTTGGGGTGCGAGGGTCGAGGCTCGGGGTTCGAGGCTCGGTGTTCGAGGTTCGAGGTTCGAGGGTCGGGGTTCGAGGTTCGGGGTTCGAGGGGCGAGGTTCGAGGCTCGGGGTTCGAGGCTCGGGGTTCGAGGCTCGGGGTTCGAGGTTCGGGGTTCGAGGGGCGAGGCTCGAGGCTCGAGGCTCTCGGGGTTCGAGGGGCGAGGTTCGAGGCTCGGGGTTCGAGGCTCGAGGTTCGAGGCTCGGGGTTCGAGGGGGGCGAGGTTCGAGGGGCGAGGCTCGAGGTCCTCGGGGGTCGCAGGGTCGAGGCTCGAGGCTGGGGGTTCGAGGGTCGGGGCTCGAGGTTTTCGGCGATCTCGCTGGCGCTCGGCGATGCTTCCGGCCTCGGGACGCCTCCGAGCGCGGCTGCGCCTCGCCGAGAGCGCTCCGAGGGGGGGGGCCCGGATCGCCCCGAGCGGCCGCCGGAGGCCCGAGGCATGAAAACCACCCGGGTGTGTGTGTGTGTGTGTGTGTGTGTGTGCGTGTGTGTGTGTGTGTGTGTGTGTGTGTGTGTGTGTGTGTGCGTGCGTGTGTGTGTGTGTGTGCGTGTGTGTGTGTGTGTGTGCGTGTGTGTGTGTGTGTGTGTGTGTGCGTGCGTGGTAAAGAGGTAAAAAAACATGCCGAGCAAGTGTGAAGCAAGACACGAGTGTGATACAAAACACGCCCGTCCCGCCCGCCCGCGGGAGCACTTGTTTTTTACCACACTTGTTTGGGGGGCCACGTGCGAACCCTACCCCCGCCCCCCACGATTTCTGAGGGGGAGAGGGTGGGGTTCACTCCGCTCGGGAGCTCCCGAACGAAGTGAACCCCACCCTCTCCCCCTCAGAACTCGTGGGGCGCGGGGGTTGGGGTTCGCACGTGGCCCCCCATTGTTTTTCATCACACTCGTTCGGAGCACCCTCGCCGATCGCCGATTCCGACGAGTCGATGTGCGGCGGGGGTAGGGCTCGGAGTGCGTCGAACGCGTGGCGCCAGCGGTCCAGAAGAGGCTATGGCCGGCGGGGGGAGGGTTCTGTTGCCGGCAGTGGCTCCCGTGCGGGCCTGTCCCTCTGCAGGAGGAATACGTATTCAAAAATAGTACAATAATAGTTTTGGGACGATTTGTTTTTGCTATTTTTGCCCATTGCATTTTTCGCCGAAACTTCCCCTGTAGGGGGACACGCTCGACCTAATCCTCGCATTTCCCAGCTCAGAGGGTTGCGCGGGTTATGCGGGGGCTCGTGCAAGCTTTTTTTGTTGCTATGTTTTGGCTGCGAGGCAGATCGGCGGCGAGCGAGGGGGCGAAGAGTGAGGAGGGCAGTGCCCCAGAAGGCGGCGGGGCTTCTCGGAAGCCTTCGCGCCCTCCGCGAGGTCTTCTGTGTCTCTTCGGAGGAGGCTTAGAACACTTCTCTCAGAAGGCCGGCGGACTTCCGAGCCTTCTTGGGCCGTCTTGGCGGCCTCTTGGGACACCTTGCACACCGTGTAAGCTCACACGTCATGTATGCGAAAAGTGTGCTTCCCAGGGGAGTTCGATGATTTCGGCCTCCTCGCCCCCTTGGGGGTGCCCTTCGAGGTCTCTTGGGGTGCTGGGCCAGACGTCAGCTCTTCTCCCTCCCCCTCCCCCTCCCTCTCTCCCTACCCCTTCTCCTTCTCCGCTCCTCCTCCTCCTCCTCCTCTTCCTCCTCCTCCTCCTTCTCCTCCCCCTTCCCCTTCCCCTTCTCCTCCTCCGCTCCTCCCTCCTCCCTCCTCCCTCCTCCCTCCTCCTCCCTCCTCCTCCTCCGCCTCCTCGTCGCTGTCGTCGCCGCCGACAGAGACAGACGGCAAGTCTGGGGCCAGGCCGACTCTCCACGCTCGCTCCGCCCCGTGCCCGGGGGGCGGCGCGCCGCCCCGAGGGGGGGGGCCGCTGGGCCCCCGAACGGGGTGGTGACCCCACGCCGTGCGGTGCGTCGGTGGGGGTTCGGGGCCACCGCACGGTTTTGGGACTCGGGCCGCTCTGCGAGGACGTCTCGGGCGACCGGGGCCTCCACGGTCCCAAGGCCGTGCGGTGGCGGACAGTGCGGTGAGGTCCGCCCCGAGGGGGGGGGGCCGCTGGGCCCCCAAACGGGGTGGTGACCCCACACCGTGCGGTGAGTCGGTGGGGGTTCGGGGCCGCCGCACAGTTTTGGGACTCGTCACCAGCCTCGAACGTATCCCTATCCCTAAGATTGACCCGCCAAAAGGCGATGACAATCTTAGGGATTCACCCTGAAAAACTAAGGGGATCCCTAAGATTGGCATTGTGTCGAGGCGATGCCCAGCTTAGGGATAGGGATATGTTCCAGGCTGGTAAACTCGGGTCGTTCTGCGAGGACGTCCCGGGCGACCAGGGCCTCCAGGGTCCCAAGGCCGTGCGGTGGCGGACCGTGCGGTGGGGTCTCGGGGGATTTCGAGGTCACCGCACGGCGTGTCGTCGCACCGCTTCGGGGCTCTTGCAGGATCTTGCAGGGAGCTTGGGTGCAGGAGCTCGCAGGATCCTGCAGGGCCTGACTGACCCGGATCTGGATCTGACCCGGGTCAGAAGCTCCCTGGTGAGACCGCCGATCTCCCAAAGGTCTGCCGCCCCCCGCGAAGTCAGGAGCCAACGCGGGGGTCGGCACGAGAAGGGCCTGCCGTACTCCCCCCCCCGTGGGCTCGCCGCCGCTGCCCCCCCCCCCGCGGCAGGGATTGTGAAGGCCTGACGGCCGGCGCCGCCGACCCTGAAAGACATCGACGACGACGACGACCAGGAGGGGGAGGAGGAGGAGAATTAGGAGGAGGAGGAGGAGGAGGAGGAGGCGGAGACAAGGAGGAGGAGGAGAAGGATGATGATGATGATGATGATGAGGAGGAGGAGGAGGAGGAGGCGGAGGAGGAAAACGACTCTCCCCTGGGACCCCCCCCCCTCTGGGGAGGAGGACCAGAAGAGGACCGGCGTGGGAGAGTGGAGGGGGTGGGGAGGAGGACCCCCAGGGACGGATGCGTATCTGACTCCCCTCCCCCCCCCTCTGGGACTCCTCCCCACCTGGGGAGGAGGACTCGAGGAGGACCGCCAGAGAAGGACTGGCGCGGGAAAGGAGGACCCCCAGAGGCGATGCGAATCTGACCCCCGCCCCCCCGGGTCCCCCCCCCCCGCCGGGGAAGGGACAAAGGGAAGGGTCTTCCCTTTGACGTAATGAGGACGTGGATGGAATTCAACGCGGGGGTCGACACGACAAGAACCTGCCGTGCTCCCCCCCGTGGGCTCGCCGCCGCTGCTTCCCCCCGCGGCGGGGACTTGCCCATAATCACCGCCTGGGGATTCGATCTTCGCGGACCTCCGCAGGCGGTGGATATGGACAGATTCCGCCCCTGGGGGGCGCCGAAGTGTGTCCATCTCACCGACCGCGGGGGCAGCAGGGCGTCGGTTCCCAGGCGGTGGATGCGGACGAGTCCCCGCCGATGCCCCCTCGCCCCCTCCCAGCGCGCCCGGCGACGAGGTATTTCAGCGGCGTCTCCCTCAGGCTCGGCGCCAGACCGCGCCGTCTCGGTGCTCGGGCCCGCGCGCCGTGCAGCGGCCGGGGGCAAGGCAGGATGGGGAGGGGGAGGGGGAGGGGGAGGAGAAGGAGGAGGAGGAGGAGGAGGACGAGGAGGACGAGGAGGAGGAGGAGGAGGACGAGGAGGACGAGGAGGAGGAGGAGGAGGACGAGGAGGACGAGGAGGAGGGGGAGGAGGAGGAGGAGGAGGAGGAGGAGGAGGAGGAGGAGGGAGGAGGAGGAGGGGGAGGGGGATGGGGAGGGGGAGGAGGACTAGCTAGGTGCGCTCGCGTCATATCTGACATCCTACCCTTCCCTCCCATCCCTTACCATGGCGTAGATCCCCTCTCTACTCGCACAGTCGGATGTCGAGCAGGGCAATGATCCCGAAAGGGTACGCGATGCATTGTAGAGCACGGCATGGCATGGCGTAGAAGAGCATCGCAAAGCGTAGTATGTCACAGCATGGCGTGGCGTGGCGTAGTGAATAATTGCATCACAAAGCTTTGCAACGCAAAGCGTGGCAGCGCACAGCGGCCCCGAACATAACATTGCAGAGCATGGCGTTGAAGATCAAAGCGTAGTATGGCATAGCACGACGCGGTACTT